CAGTACACGTACACAAATGCCCAAGTACACGTGCCCCACTGTAGCTGTTCTCCCTACTTCGTGCAGTAGGCCCAGGAAGCCCTCACATTATTTCAGTATGTTACGTGCGTGCATCATACACACTATTAACCGTTCGGACTGCGTGCCCCACTCCGGCTCCCGGGCAAGGTCGTGTCGCGCGGCGACAACTTTGGCCATGCCTGACCTAGGCCAACTCAGCCTGACAAATTTTTTTCATGCTACTTTCTTTTCATATAAACATATCATATGTGGAAGATATTGTATTGTCTATGCTTGTCTATGATACATATATAAGAAAAGGAAATCGCGAAGCATAGAGTATTACATATAAAGAGGGCCATGTCTCTTGCTGTGGTTTTTCCATTGTCACTTGAGACTGTCAGTCCGAAACGCTCACTTCCCCACCACGTCCGGAGACTCGGTTGTTAGTACATATATAGGCAGGTACTTGCCTATCTCGAATAGTCTTCACGCAGCTGTATAAATAATACTGAACAAGGTTGTGGACGAGAGGTGCTGTTCGAATACCGCAATTTCTTTTTGTGCATCGGCTGTGCGGTTGCAAAGCCTCTTTGGATGACGACTATTTTATCTTTTGTAAATCGATGTTTTTGTTTGATGCGAGAGATATTATAAATTCCAAAAAATTCTTAGCCAAAGACAGAATTTTATTTAAATGTCCGCAAAGGCGTTTGGTGGTTCTGCTTTATATTAAATTTTAATTTCTCCAGAAATTTGTGTCCCAATAAACATTTTTCATATTCATTCTTGTTCACGTTTCATTCTCACATGATTTTCCAGTAAATGTTGCGTTTCCTTTTCATAAGATCGAGATTGCTAGAACCAGAAATCGTAATAATGAACGAAATACGAGGTGGAGTAGACAACAAGCTTCGAGGGTGCGGCGGCTTTTCATTAGCCGCATTAGCAACTCCAGAAACTCGGAATCGAAGAAAAGATATTAACACTTTACCGACCGGCCATCGACTAATCGACTTTTGCTCCACAGCGCTTACCCACCGGTCGTCGATTATTCAACTTTTACTCTATAGTGCTTACCGACCGGTCGTCGATTAATCGACTTTTAATCTCTTTGTTAGATTTGGTTAGGCTAGACCAGGCATGGCCAAAGTTGTCGCCGCGCGACACGACCTTGCCCGGGAGCCGGAGTGGGGCACGCAGTCCGAACGGTTAATAGTGTGTATGATGCACGCACGTAACATACTGAAATAATGTGAGGGCTTCCTGGGCCTACTGCACGAAGTAGGGAGAACAGCTACAGTGGGGCACGTGTACTTGGCCATGCCTGGTTTAAAGGANCATTTCGCTTAATTGATAATTTAATGAGACAGTTTATTACTTGTTACTTATTATAATTTAATTAATACTATAACTATTATATTATCTAATAGGTCATACCCCATGACCTCAAATAAAAGTTTAATCAATCAATCTTCGAAGTTGTGGAGACCTTGAGCACATTCGTGTTGATAATTTCATGATTAGTTTGCACAATCAATATTTGAGATTAACGAACTGCTCGAAAGTTGGATTTCAGATTATAAATTTCAGATTACGTGGGTACATAATATATTAGCCTCAAAGTTATGAAAGTCGATCGATATTCGCATCGCATAATTAAATTCGTCATTTATTCACATCAGATTAAAACAAATTGATTGACCACTCATTATTTAGTATACTCATCTCTCTGATCTTAATTAGCGATTGAACAGTTTTACATGAGACTTGTTAACACTTTAAGCGTCCTGTCAGTCACGGTTGACTTTAAAAAGGTACATCCATCTGTTAATAAATTGTAAATAATTTGGAGAATTAGCGTTGCGATTAAAATCGTCACATGCTTCACGCACTTTCTATTTTTGAAATGAACATGTCACGTGTACAAAGTCGATAAGAATTATCATCATGCAAATCGCTTCGTCGTTTGCATGAATTAATTACAGAATGAACACGTTTCAAAAAATTTCATGTGAGTTTGTTAATTAATTGTTGAATGGCTTTATAATGAATACAATTAATAATAAATAACTATATATGACTCATTGAGCTATCTTGTCTTTATGATATTCTTTACATGCTTACAAAAGTTTTGAATTACAAACACGTTCATACTGATATCTAGAGTCTGTTTATAAATGCATATGATCCCAGTCATCAACGCCCAGTTTTATGCATTTTCACTCGCCATCGATGCTCGCTCGTTCTCTCTAGATTCACCACGTGTATTAGTTTAGCATTAGTACTGATTTTTCTTTCGTTCTCTGAGGCAAACTTAGCAATCAACGAACAGACATGGTACTGACATGTGTAAACAAGTCTTACAGATAAGACGAAACTGGAAGATATGTATAAATTAAGAAACCATTGGAGTGTGGCAGAATTAATTAGCTAGTGATAAGAAGTGCATCGAGATTACTTGCAGTAGCTGCATCTTTAACGTAAGAATTTTATTAAATTCACTATAATTGATTCAAATATTTTTCAATTATTTTGTTCAAAAAAATGTAATATTTGATTGAATAGGAGAGGTGATTTTTATCGATGATAATCTTTTCGAAGAAGACTGTTATTGGGNGACGAGGAGAATAAATGGCTGGTACCTCGAATGGCTCGTTTCAATGTTGTGAGACTTTGTCATGACCAGCAAGGTCATTTTGCCCTTGAGAAAACGCTAGAGAAAATTCGCGGGAATTACTGGTTCTAAGGTATGAGGAGGTTTGTTTCCAAGTACATCAAGTCGTGTTTGAACTGTTTATATTATAGAAAATCGTCAGGTCGTAAACCTGGACTTTTACACCCTATTGTAAAGGTATCTGTTCCATTCCATACGATTCATGTGGATCATGTGGGGCCTTTTGTAAAGAGCAAAAGCAAAACTACACAAATCTTTGTAATTATTGACGGTTTTACTAAATTTACTATTCTCGATCCTGTCCGCAACACGACAGTGAAGGGAGTGTTGAAAGCACTTGGTCAAATGATAGCAATTTTCGGAGTACCATCACGAATCATAAGCGATCGAGGATCAGCGTTTACATCGCACAGATTCAAGTCTTTCTGTGAAGAGTACGGGGTTAAACGTGTACTGTAGGCAGCACTGTCGCTGCACAGCCAAATAGTTGGCAACAACCTCTCCTTAATATAGGGAAGAAGGAGTAGGGATGAGGAAGCGGAAGATCACTCCGTTAAAGACTCCGATTTGAGAGAGCAGCTCCTACGACATCACCACGTGCACTTCGCATAGTACAGGATTGTATGAGCGATATTGTTAAGTTGAATATATATATCCTTGTTCCAAAATTCGTCAAGTGTGCCTCATTTATAATACGGGCAGTTGTGGATCTGCCCAAGATCCAAACCAAAACCCACATACTCAATGCAGTGACGACATCTCGTGCTAACGGTCAATGTGAACGTATGAATGGTATAATTCTGAGTTCGCTTGCATCTACCTGTGGCGGAGATGATGAAAATCTTTGGGACCAGAAAGTGAAGAAGGTTCAAAGTGCTGTGAACAGCACAACCAA